ACAGTAATATTGAAAAGATCAAAAAAGGGATAGGTTTTGAATTCTTAATAGCAATTGCACTTATTTTAATCATGATTTTCAGTATAATCATATCTTTTATTCTCAATTGGCAATTATCTTTAATTATGTCTTGTATGATACCAATTATTCTTGGTAGTTCATTAATATTTGCTAGGGTAGAAATTACTATTTAATTCTCTAAAATTTTATTAATAATTACAGGTCATCACTAAAGAAACAGAAGCACAATTAAGTACATATTCAAAAGCTGGACAAATCGCTCAAGAAGTGTTTAGTTCATTAAGAACTGTACTCTCATTCAATGGAGGCAAATTGCAACAAAAACAGTAAATAAATAAACAAATAAAGATTTCTAGATTATTGTATTATTTATTGTATCTAGATATGATAAAGAATTAAAACTAAATGAATGGTGTACTGTTCGCAAAGATGCTGCATTTGGTGCTTTTACTGGTTGGATATTTTGTATAAACTTTATAGTTTATTCAATTGGTTTCACTTTTGGTTCCATTCTTATGTCTTATGGAAATCATCGTACACTGACCATTAGTGAGATTCTTATTGTAAGTAAACTGCAACATCAATATGCAAGAAAGTAACTGGAAAAAGAACTTTTATTTAGGTTGTGAATATGTTTGCACAAGCTTTAAGTTTTCTCAATTCAATTGGACCTTTCTTCCTATCAATTTCAGAAGCTCAAGGTGCAGCAGTATCCGTATTTCGACTTATTGATGAGGTAAAATCGATTGAAAACTAGAGACTAAATCTTAGTAATAATATTTTTTATTTTATTGTTTATGATGTAGGCACATGATGCAAATATTAATGAAAAAGAAATATTGCAAGAGAGCATATCTGATGAGAAATCTATTTCTAATATCAATGGTGATATTGAATTTGATAATGTTAGTTTTTCTTATCCATCTAGAGAAAATGCAACAGCTTTGAATAATCTTAAATTGATTGCTCGTGCTAATCAAACAACTGCTCTTGTAGGTTCAAGTGGTTGTGGTAAATATTTTTTTCTAAAACAAATATATCATTTCCTATTCAAAATTCATTATAATAGGAAAAAGTACATGTGTATCACTTCTTCTTCGCTTTTATGAACCTTCCTTGGGCAGAATTATGATTGATGGGCAATCAATTACAGATTATAAAATCAAACAGTTTCGTCAAAATATTGGAATTGTTAGTCAAGAACCTGTAGGTTTCTTTTATTTTTGTTTTTAGTCTCTGTCGAATTTTTATATATTAAAATAGATTCTATTTGGAATAAGTATTTATGAAAATATTCGTTTTGGTAAAATGAATGCAACACGTGCAGAAATTGAAAATGCAGCAGAACAAGCTAATGCACATAAATTCATTATGAAATTACCAAATGTTTGTTTTTAAATATTTATATGTATATATTAATATTTTTGCTTGCAGAAATATGAAACACTTGTTGGTGAACGTGGTATACAATTGAGTGGTGGCGAAAAACAACGTATTGCATTAGCCCGTGCACTTGTCAAACAACCCAGTATTCTTTTGTTAGATGAAGCAACAAGTGCACTTGATAATGTTAGTGAAAGAATTGTTCAAGAAGCACTTGATCGAGCATGCAAAAGTAACAGTTATTTAATTACTAGTGATTATATTATTATTATTATATATATAGATCGTACCACTATAGTTATTGCTCATCGTTTGACTACGATTCAAAATGCTGATTATATATATGTATTAGATAGCGGAAGTGTACTTGAAGAAGGTACACATGAAACATTATTGGCAAAAGAAGGAGGCAAATATCAAACAATGGTCAAAATGCAACAATCTGAAAAAATGATTGATGCACAAGATGGCTTAATGAATATGGAAAAAGCAGCAGCTGAAGATGAAGAACAAATACGTATGTTGTCATTATTCTAATATTAATAAATATTATATTTTATAAACTCTATTCTGTTTTGTTTTTTGGAATAGTGGAACGTATTCGTCTGCTGAGTGAAAGCGAATCAATTGATATAAATCAGGTAAAATTGAATACCTGATAACTTTAAAAAATTATTAATGGTGTCTAAATTTCCAGAGAGCTTTGATATCAACAAGAAAAAAGTCCGTCTTTCTAAGACTCTTGAATATGAATAGTCCTGAATGGATATTTATCTTGATTGGTTGTTTGGCATGCTTACTTGGTGGATTACGTGGACCAGTGTTCTCGATACTATTTGCAAAAATAATCAATGTGAGTAATTTTATTTATATGAATATTCTCACAAAAGATAAAAAATGTGTCTTTTTTTGTCGAATTTTTCTTTTATTTAGGAATTTAATGATTGTAATTACGGTGATGTGCGTCGTCGAGTGTTGATTACATGTGGTTTATTTATTCTTACCGGCGCTATTTTTATGATTTTTCATTTTTTTCAAGTAACAATTTTATTACTAAACTATATCAATGAGTTTTTTCATCTTCGTTTACAGTTTGTGACTTTTGGAATAGCAGGAGCAAAATTAGTTACTCGTCTTCGTTCAAAATCTTTCGCATGCTTTCTTCGTCAAGAAGTCGCTTATTTTGATCGACCTGAAAACAGTTCTGGTGCTATATGTACTCAACTCTCTTCTAATGCAGCTGCTATAGAAGATATGGCTGGTACAAGATTAGGCATTATTTGTCAAGCTTTATCCATGTCTACTTTTGGCTTCTTGCTTGGCTTTTTTTACAATTGGCAATTAACAATGATCATAGCTATTCCTTTCGTTATCGTACTGATCGCCACTATTATAGAAATACGGTTGAGTTCATGGTTAAAAACACAATCTAATCTCGTTCACTCTCAAGCTAGCACGGTAAAACTATATTGTTATTCATAATCTTTTAATGTATAGTAGAATTATGTTATAATACATTATTTGATCAAATGCTTATTAAATATTCATTCGATGTTTTGTCTTCTTTAGCTTGCTGTTGAAGTTATTACAAATATGCGCACAGTAAAACAGTTATCAATGGAAATTGAAATTTTACAACAATATTCGAATATGATTGATCAAGTATTAAAGTTAGTCTTATAAATATAATGCATGCATATATATTTAAAAAAACAAGCTATAATCGGTTATTGAAGGATACTATCGTTATACAAGAAATAAATCTAAGTTGTTAAAAGTAATTCGAGTCTTTGTATCGTTCTATATATTTAGGTTGTAACTAACTGTAATAAAGCATTCCTCATAGACAGATTCTCTATAAAGTGTATTGTTTCATCGTTTTCTTAGTTAGTTTGTAAGATTTTTCATCATTATGAAAGAAGTTCTTTATGAAAAATTAGTAAGGGTTTGTTTTGATAGAGTTAGAAACTATCTATCATCTTGTATAGTAATGAAAAATCGTAAAAACGAGATTTGAGTGAAATTCGATCATATAGTTGCTTTGATTATAGTCAGTTTATCTTCTTATTATAGCAAATCTAAATTGAAATCTAAATATATATAAAGTAATAAACAAAACTCTGAGTTGTTTTAAGAATTTTGATTAATTTTGTCAAAAATATACTCTTCTATATCGAATATAACTTTCTTTTTTTATAGATATCCACTTTAATCTTCAATAAATTGTCTTTTGTTTAGATTGTCTTGGAGACCTGAAGCACTGTTTGCAACAGTTTTTGGATTGTACTGGGCAATGAGTTCATTAACTTTGGGACTTTTGTA